TTACATTCCATTGTTCAACGAATAGCGTACAAAAGCAAGTTTGTATAACAAAAATATTTATTATTTCAATGATAAATAATTCTCACCAAAATATGTGGTATCAGAGATGTTAAGTGTTCTGATCACCCATTCCTTTCCTGGAGAACTAAATGCGCCTAGTAGATAAAAAAAAACTAAATGGTATATTGAAGCATTTGCATCACTTGCATCAAGGGTATAAAACTTTATCTAATGAAATATTTTATAAACGTTTAAGAAGTGTTACAGTAAAATTTTGTTGCTTCAATAAACTTATACTCGACAGTGTTGTAAAGTTCTCTTTATCTGTTATTTGAAATATTTGCCTACAGGATAAAAAACATTCCGGAACAAAATAGTATTCTGCAGTTTTAAGTAGGACTTTTAACCTTTTGACAATGATTTCGTACATGCGCCATTTGCTCTGAAGGAAAAAATACCTACATATTTCTTTCATGTAGGCATTGAAGAAAACTAAAACAAATACTTTTGGAGACTGCAGGCGGGATAACTGTAACTATATACTTATATAAATTTATAATAATTACTTTATATTATTAATTAATATAAAATGGTAGGGCATATATTGTTTTAGTATTTTCATATTGATGAATGAATACAGTCATGGATAAGTTATTCATTTGAAATTTTCGAAAACGACAGCATTTCTTTTATTCATGAATTCGTGGATTCTGAAACATTACAATTTTTCAACTGATACCAAATTGTACAAATTTCACCTAAATATATCCGTCCTTAATATACACAACTTATAGACTTGAAATAAATAAGGAAATTGTTCAAAAACCTCTCCAGTCATCTACACCTGGACCTCCAACGAGCTCATAACCGTCCTAGAGAAAATATAAAAAAGGGTAAAGTCAACATTAAAACAGATATACCAAAATGAAACGCAAGAGGACATAAACAATATTAGATTTTACTTGCAATTTGAGATCAAATACTTAACAACGTGTGAAATTGTTTGGTAGTGTCCTAACATTATACAGTCGGATATAAACTAATTTGGCCGTCTATAGTCACTGCTGTAACTATAACTCACACCTTACCAGGTGCTTTAATACAAAGAATTAATTTGATATCAGACATTTTAATATTGTGCCCTCTTCAAGGATAGCAAAGTAATTTTTCAGTCATAAAAATACGTAACCCGTAAATAATATTGTGACCTTTGTAAAAGCCAGTGAAAATCCTGCCTCGGCGTAACTATAGACGGGTCTACCACTTGATGAGCTTACTGTGCCCTTTGTACCATTACCAGGACGAGCCCAAAATGGCCAACATCTGAGTAAAGAAAAGAGAAAATAGGTAAGTATTAATAAAAACACAAATGACAATTGACTGATAATTTAAAAAAAGAGGAATTTAGTAAAATGTGTTTCTCCTCAGAAGGGAAAAACACCTTATTCTGTATACTAAGGTAACATGTTTTTGAAGTAGCAAACATTTCTTTTAGAAATAAAAGGCATATATGTATGTTAAAATAAACCCTTATCTTTCCAGTTATAAGATGAAATATTGTTTGAGAAATGTCACGAAAAAAGTTAGAATAAATTTGTAAAATTGTTGTTATTTATTTGTAAGCAGTTCCTATGACAAAAAATCATTCACTTATTTAAAAAAGAGAGAAAAAAAGAAAATGTCTTGAAGTAAAAAAAAAAAGAAATTGTGAATATTGTTCATATGTTAAATATAGTTGTGTAGAATAACAAGCCAGCAGTGTTAAAGATTATGTTTAAAGGTACATTAAGCCTCGGAAATATACATATTTCTTCTTCTTTAGAAAGAGCAATCATGAATTTTATAATGTTTAAGTAATGGTTTTAGAGAATGTTACATGCTTGTTAGCCGAAGAAAGAAGCGATAAATGTGAAATAATTTGTCACAAAGTAGCAAAATGTAAACTAGTAAGTAGTATTTTAATTCCATACAAAATACATGACTATAACTTTACTTATGCAATAGAAGAAAAAAGTTGGTTTTAAATTAGGTAATCGGTCTATGAGTAACCTTTTTGGATACTATAAAACACCAAATTAAAAATAAAGAGAAATAAAAACATTTCTAAGGCATATTTGGCCTAATAAGAAATTCCTATATTGATTTAAAACCACTGGCCTCCATATGGTAAAATAAAAAAAAAAAAATTCAAATAAACGGTAAAATTGATCTAGTAAGGTGTTATATGAAGATACATTATAACTTACATCTTAATTTAAGAAAGAATGTTGACATAACTGTCAATATATCGTGTTTCTCCCTTGCATTATATATAACGTTACTAACGCAGTAAATATAAATATGAGAACATAATTCTATGTTTGATACGATCCCGAATACCGCGCTTTCGGATCACAGGTCGCGATTGTGCCCTGTACAATCACGAGGTTCTAGAAAATAGCCCGAATGAAAGAATTCCGTAGTATAATAACAGAAGGTATTTGTCGTTAGCCACTCAGCACAGAACAAACACAGGTTACAATATAAATATTTTGAAGTGTCATTTCGATATTTTCATCTACATAATGTTTTTAAGAGGGTTTTGAAATATTATTACATGTAAGTCGGTATTAATTGTTTTAGTTTTTTTTTTGTTGTTGTTGTTGTTATCTTTTTCAGGCCTGCTACTTTAATGAAGAATATGTTGTTTGAATACTCTTCAAAGTGGAGGTAATGCATTACCCGTGGTCTACCTTAATGTAATAAGTTTCATCACCATCAATACTTAAATATTTTGTTTTATCACTTCTGTGAGATGAAATTTAAAATGATAATTTCAAAATAAGTTAAAATAAGGTTGCCGTCATAAACCTACAACAATTCATTACAATGAAAGAAATTGTAAGTATTCAAGTATTTGCATCGACTCGCTTGTGTTTCTAGACCATAACTGACAGATGACACATACTTTTAAAACAAATAAATAAATAAATTTATAATAAAATAATTAAACAAACCCGAATGAACCGTCCACTTTGCATTTCATTGCTTTAATATTGCCAGTCAGTTTAATGCACTTTCCAACCATATAATTCTTCGAGTTGTTTTCTACTGTCTCGTAATATGTATTTTTCCACCCAGGGGCACACACCTGTATGGTAATTATACAAAATAACATTGTCTAAAGAAAAAATGATTTCAACTAGAAAACAAGCAACTTGTTGGTCATTCAAATAATAAATAAACTGGAATAAACACTTAATAGCAGCTTTTATAACAATATAAAGAGCCGAATTACCATAGCCATTGGTATCGTGGCGTTATTTGAATTGTTCCCATTTTGAATGTAGTATTTGTTTACTGCCAAAGAAGAGCCGAGCCTGCTGTTCTGTTCACAAGCCGTTCGAGTCTTGTCGTTTCTTCTTATTATTTCTGAAATTAGATCTTGTTTATGCTAATCATTATTTGTTCGAAGTAGCAAAATGTTTCTTAAAAATGTTTCAAGAATTCCTATGTACTGTCACTGCTAAATGTGTATTGAGTTTCGTTATATTACTATAATGATTGAAGTGTGTTAGACTACTTCTAAAATGATCACAAATTAAATTAGAGTGAGACTAAAAAAGGATTGGAGCACCACACTACATACCGTATTCCGGTATATACCAGACAGACAAGTCGCTTGAATGATAAAATGCTAAAATATTGCCTTTTTACCCAACAGAATGAACTTTAAAAGGTCTTATTCATCTTTTCACGCCTATTTATGTATGATAATGAATGAAAAATGTAAAAAATTGCGAAAAAAAAACCAAAACGATATTTGTCATTTTTGTGATCATGATTTCTGCAAGCGTCTATAGGTACTGCACTAATCCTGTTTTAAGTTAAATCCATTAAATTATGAAAAACAGTTCATATCAAAGGAGATATCTTTCTGTTGACGAATGTCAGAGTCGGTTTAATCTGTCCTATATTCTTTGTACAACTACTCAAAAACTGCGTGTGCTGGAGGGCGTGGACGGTGCGTTGAAATATGTATGTACTACCGTCAATAAAGAGCATCAATCAGACCGCTCCTGCAACATTTTCAGTTTTGAAGTGAGAGATATTTTTTTCTATTTTAAGTCTGTCAAAGAGGGAAGATAGAATATACAGCATCTTATCGCTGAGACATTCATTTGTTCTGGTCTTAGTTTACAACAAGTAAACAGAGCAGCATGTTATTTATTATTTTGCATGAAATCATATTATATATTTTCTGTACATAATCCGTGTTCAGAAGAAAACGACCGATTTATTCAAAATATTTAATTAAAAGAGAACAGACCAATTGTTTTACATTAGGTTGAGAAGGGGTAGACTATCCATGTATTACTAAATTTACAGTCAAAGAATGAATCATAAAATGCTGAAACAAATACATATGTTTCTAAAAAAATGATATATTTTAATATCATTATGCCGGCTCGCCACGGCGAGCCGGTATTACGTTAGGATTTTGCTGAGAAACAACCTAAAACTCCGAATCCATCCAAAAATTTAATCGAAGCTTGGCTTCCAGCTTTCTACAAAATTTATCTATCAGGGCTAGGATCCAACATTATTTAGCCAATCAAATTTAATCTTACATAGCGTCAAAAAACCTTCAATTTTCACGCCATTTTTCAAAAGCAGCAAGAAATATTTTGAGCGCAAAGATATAATGATGATTAAAATGTTTGTTTTCATGAATTCTTTTCAAAAAATCATATTTACACTGACTTTATTTAGCGATTTCACCTGTTTTCTCTGTAGTATGTATTCGTTTGGTTAATAAATAAACATAAGTGTACATCTGGTTCTGTGCATTTTTTTCTTTTTCCTTTTTTTTCCGGTCATTGTATCCTTTCCGGTATTTAGTGTATGTTTTTACTGGCCGGGATCCGGGACGCCCGGACTGGCCGGGATCCGGGATCGTATAAGATATAGAGGAAAAACTAATAAACTATATTTGTGTTGATAATTGGTCGCAATGAAAGGCCATTAAACGTAAAGTTTTTTATTGTATTTTTAATAAACTTTTAAAAAATTAAATTTTTAAATTTAGGATTTTAAATTTTTAGGCCTTTTTTATAAAAACCCCTTAAAAAGCGGAAAATCAAAATTTCTTTAATTTTTCCTAATTAATTTGGAAAAATCAATAAACTACTTTTTAAAATTGGGTTTTCCAAAATCCCGGGGTTTTTCCCTTTTTTGTTTTAATCCCGTTTCCCCCCCCTTTTTTTTAAATATTTTCCTTAACGGGCCCCCAAATTCCTGGGATCTTTTTTTATTTTTTTTAATGACCGGGCTTTTTTCTAAAAAAACCATCTTAGACTGTAAATTTCCGTAAACCCTTATCTTTTAATGGGGTTTCCCGGCTTTTCGGGCCCTAAATTTTATTGACAACTTGTGTTTCCCTTTTAGGTTTTTGTGTCTTCATTCTTTTCCCAAAATACTAAATATCATTTTTACAACAAAAATTTTCGTTTTAAAGAACTTTATTTTGAATTTTTACCCTATCAAATTTTTATTTGGTCAAGGTAACAGGCCAAAAATTTTTAAATGTCATAGACATGGGGGCTTCTTCTATTTTTTTGTTTTACATGATCTTTATAAATACCCCGTATTCCTTTAAAAACCCGGGAGAGAACGGGGTTTTCCAAAATTTTTATGTCACTTTATTTGATTTTTGCTAAAGTCTCTTCAGCAAACGGGAACTGTTATTTTTACTTTAAACACCCCCCTTTGGAAAAAAAATTCAACCCCGGGGTCGCTACTAGTTTTTTTAAAAAAGCTAACCTTGTTTTTTTTTCGCTTAATTTTTTTTGGTAAATTTTAAATAAAAAAAAATTGAAAAAAAACCAAAACGGTGGAAAAGGAGTTTTTGGGAGGGAATTTTCTAAAACATGGGCTATAACAGCAATAACTATTATATTAAGTTATTTGTATTTACATTTTATACCGTGAGCGACATACTTTTACACAAGTGTTATGAAGTTTGATTTTCATTCAATGCAGGTTTGGAGCTGCACCTCTAAACACTTGCAGAAATCATGATCACAAAATAGACAAATATTGTTTTTTTTTTTTTTTTTCAAATTGTTTATTTTTTGCCGATTCTTACATTTTTCATTCATTATTATTGTAGATGTATAATGGTGAACTGGACGTTTAAATATTCATTTTGAAAGTGAAAAGGCGAAGATTTGTGCTTCCTTAAGTCCCTGTGCGGTTGTAGTGTGGGGGGCTCCCCCCAATTTCCTTTTTTTTTAGTTCCTCCACTCTAGCTAGTGTGGAAATCTGAACATTTTCTGGGGTTTTAATGGTTTTAAAAAAAAAAACCCCCGGTTTAAAATTTTCCCGGTTTTAATAATTAAAGGGGGCAATTTTAAAATTTTGGTTTTTAAAAGGCGATTATTTTCCTTTACTTTTCCCCTTTTTTATCTAAAAAAATTTGGAAAAAAACAAAGCCTTTTTTCCCCTTAAAAAAGAAGGAAAACTTTTTAAATTTAAAAACCTAAAAAAAAAATTTGTTTAAAAAAAATTCAAAAAAGACGCTTTTTGGTTTTGGTTTCCAAAAAGTTTTAACTCCTTTGGGGGGGTTTTGAAGGGTTAATTTTTTTTCCAAAACAAAAAATTTAAAATTTTTGAAAAAACAAGATTCCCCAAAAAAAAAGGGAAACTTAAAGAAAATAAAAACTTTTTTCCCCAAATTTTTGAAATTACTCCCGGGAATCCTTTGGGTTTGGAACGTTTTGGTAAAAAACCCCGGGGAATAGGTTTCAAAATTTTTTTAAAAAAAAAAAATTCCCGGTGTTTATGGTTTTCCCATTTTTCCTTTTTTTCCAAACCGGAATAGGGGGGGTTAAAAAAAAAATTTTTCAAAAACCAAATTTGGGTTACAAAAAAAATTTGGGAAAAATTTTTTCCTTGGGAAAATAAAAGGTTGGGGTTTTTCTAGCTGGGGCCAAAAACGATTTTTTATCCCCAAAAAAAATAAATTTAAAAATTAAAAAAGGGCCTACTTTTTTTTGGTACAAAAATTTATGTATTTCTTAAAAATTGAAAAAGTTGCCGTTTGAAAAATTTTTTTCCAAACTCAAATTTAATTGATTAACCTAATTTTTGGAAAAGTAAACAAAAGTATCATCACATAAATCATCATCACTCATGGGTCGTCGTCTTTCGTCGTGGGTTCGTCGTCGTCTCTTTTGGGCGCCCGAAAACTACAGTACAAGAAACACAAACCAAAAACCACACTTTACTTTGGAAATTTTTGGTTTGGTTGTGAACTGTTTGGGCCGGCTAGCTCAGTCTTTTGCCGTCAGTTTACACCCCGGGGGCCGGGGTTTGTTTTCCCGGGGGCAATTTTTCCCCGTAATTTGGGTTCACGAAATATTTTCCCCCCATTCTTCCCCCCCGTTTGTTTCAAAAAAAGGGCATTTGTAAATTATTTGGGCGAAGGGTATCTGCTTATTTAAGGGTTCAAGAAATATACTCAAAAGCTAAAAGGGGGCTTGCCCCAAAGGGAACTCTGTAAAATTTTGGGAAATTTTTCGCTTTTTTGGTTTTTGTTCAAAAAGGGGAACTTGAAGGGAAAAGGTAGGCAAAGAAAATTTCCATAAAGCGCGCCACGCTTCTTGGAAAATTTAAAATTTTCCTTTTTAAAAACCCCCGGTTTTTAATCTTATTTTTTAAAATATTTTTAAATTAAAAAATTGGTGGGTTTGCCCAAATTTATTTGCTTTAAGCAACGCCCTTTGCGGGGAATTGTCGACTTCCTTTGGTTTGGCCCGAATTAACTTTCGGGGTCACCCAAAATAATTAAAAGGGGGTTTCGTGAAATTGTTTGGGGTAAATCAAAAAACTTCTGACAAAAAGATTTTTGCATGAGAAAATCCAAAAAAATAAAAAAGGGAAATTGGGCCGAAAAAATAAAACAAAAATTCTATTTCAGGGCTTTTCCCCAGTTGTTTTACAATAGAATTTCTTTCCGAATTAAAATTCCCAATTCCCTTGGTTTCCAGTTGGTTTTAGGATTGACCCCCAAAACAATTCACAAAGATCATTTAATAGAACAATTTTCAATTTTTTTAAAACTTTTTTTTTTTCGAAAAGTGTAAATTTTCACCAAATACCGATTAAAAGAGATTTTGAAAGCTCTTTTAATAAAATATATCTCTCCAAAAAAAGGATGTTTTGACATGGCTGCCCTTTAGACAGGTGTGGACTGTTATTCCAATAAACATTAGGCGAAAGCAAAAAAATTGGTTTTCTGGGTTTTTCCGGTGAACCCCGGATAACCCACCTATTTTTTTATCCCCGACCCTAAAACTTTTTTTTATTTTTAAATACGAAAAAATTGGTCCGAATTTTTTACTCAATATTTCAAGAGAATTGTTAAGAACGTTTTTAAAAGGTTCATGTAAACATTCTAAAAAATGAAAACAAAACTTAATTAATTTTTGTTTAAGTTTTGAAATCTTTAATATGTTGTCTTTGTTAAGGGAAAGTAATTTTTGAAAATGGAAATACATTGTATGTGTCCAACTTATTTGAATTTTGTAAACATTGGATATTTCCCCAATCTTTTTGGTTGGTAACAATGTATGTGCGTTAAGAGTGGTTGGGTTATTTTCTGGAACCAGGAGTTGTTAGCTTTAATATAAATGAACTATCCCACCCCAAACCAAATTTGAATATTTAAAGACTTGAAATAGCACAGGTATGAGTTTAGATGAAACAGTCTTTTATTTTAACTGGGTTTATTAACAGTCCCCCTCTAATATCTTTGGCAGGTTCGAATCAAAAAAACCTCATATTTTTAAAAATAAATGTACGGAATTTTGCCCACAGTCAACAAAGCACTTCAACGTAAAAGCATTCCCTGCGACTTTTTTTTTACGCTGATATTCAGTCAATTTTAAAATGTTCTACTAACCCATGATATCATCATTAAAACTTTTTCATTCATCATGGGACGATTTGATGAATGAAATGGCGGTTAATGGTGACGTTTGATGCATGATTTTGGTTGTTAAAATTTGGTGACGATGATGATGTAATTGATTATTGGATTGGGGACATTGTGATGAATGCAATTGGGTTTGATGATTGTGATGATGATAACTGCGATGTTTATCGGGCCGATGATAAAATGATTATAATGAAGATGAAAATGAAAAAAGTTTTTTATTATTGTTGACGCCCAATGATTTACCGGCCGCCCCCGATGATGATTATTTTTGATGATTGATGTTGATGCTGATTGATTTTGATGAATGATTGTGATGATGATGACGATGAGATTTTTTTTCATTTGATAGTATTGATGACGTTGATGAAAAAATTTTTATTTTATGATGATGATGGTGTTTGGAAAATTTTGATAGGGACGGAGACGATAAAGGGTTGATGAAAATTGATGATGTTTTGAATGTTTTGGTTTGAATGATAGGAGATGAAAATTGTTTGTTTAAATTTCTTTGAGGGTATTGGACTTTTGATAAAATTTTGGTAGTTATGATGAGATTTGATAAAATTTGATGATGATGGTTGATGATTTGATGATGAGGGATGATTGATGATTTTGAGGGTTTGATGTTTAATTGATATAAATGATTGATGATAAGTGTTTGATTGGGGTTTTTTTTTGCCCCGATGAAAATTTGTCCCCATTTGGGAAAGGGAATGTGGTACTTTTTTCTTTCCGAAATAGGTACAAGTTTTGTACCATTTGGTCGGGCCCTTTTTACCCCAAAACTAGATACGTTATGGATACAATTTAGACAGTGACCATATTCGGCCCCCGGAATTATCGGTTTACAAATTTTGTCACCATATTCGTTTTTGTACCAAATAGGGTTTCCGACCAATTTGCTTGTGTTATGTGTCAATAGCGTTGAATATCTGAATTTTGAACGCATGATAAACAGAAAAAGAGGTCATGCATGGGAAAAATGAACCAAAATTGCAGACTCTGTTTGATTGATTAATTTTAATGTAATGAAAATTTGTATTTGAAATGTTACACCCCGATGTCCATGGGTTTCTCCTTGTGGAGGTTGCTTAATGATTACGACGGGTAATGGGTGTAATCCTTAGATTATAATTTTTAGGCTGAAAAGGGTCAAGGTCATTATAGTACATAATATATAGGTGTCAATAGCAGCAGATTAGAGAATTATAGAGGGGACGTCGGACATGAATTTCGGTATGCCTACATTAAATAGAGGATATGTGTCTAGTTCAGTGTAAGATCGGAATATATTTCACCGAGTGAGCACCAAAAAGGTATATTTCACGAGTGGCGCAGCCAAGAGTTAAATATGAACTTTTGGTGTTCACAAGGTGAAATATATTTCGATCTTACACTAAACTCAACAAATTTTCTTTTTATTACATGCAAAGAAACGTTTTAAAAAGACATTAAACCTAATACTGAATGAAAAACGCGCCAAATAATAATACAACGTGACGTCATTTACGACGTCACGTCATTAAGTTGGTACCCAGTACTGTGCACGCTGGTATTTCACAGAAAGAACGGAAGGGGCTTCAAAACAGTGAAATTATCAAAAGTGATAATTTCACTGTTTCAAACAGTGAAATTACCAGTTTTTAATATCACTGATATATTTCTATAAACCACCGAAAAGCATGTAATAAACAATATTAATGGCAGATTTGGTAAATCAATTCATTTGCTCAAATATAGATATATATGAAAAGTGTTACATGTGGAAATGAATAGTAAACGTGAACATATTCTTAACAAAAATCGAAAGATGTCGTTGTTTAAATGTTTACTTACTACACTTATTGGAAGCTCCTGATGTATCAATCACTTTACAAGTCTCATTTCTTTTTAGGGTAACTGTACACTCATGTAATAACCCATGTCCTTGTATACGTCGATGTGTTTCATTAGGGGCACCAACCAGAAGCCTTAATACAATCATTTTCATTAAAATTGATAAATTTTCATCAGACATTTTACACAACAAAATAACATTAAATCCTACATTTATGTTCAAATTAAAAGTTGGGCAATTCTTTCGTCTATCACAAACTTGCATTTATACTTAAAGTTAACGGAATTTTACCTATTTTATTTTCATCGTCAAACCACACTCCTGTTTTGAAAATTGAATTCTTCATTTATTTATTTAAATAACAGGTATCGGGATTTTTTATATTTCAAAGAACGATGAACCCATGATGCTTTTTTGTGGTATTTATTTCACAGAGGAATCACTTCAATGCTATTAATCTAGACCTACATCAAATAGTATACAAATCTCAGACAAATACATTTTAGTCACGTCATCTCGGAAAAAACCTCAGAGGGGTCCCTTTTATATCGAAAAGAAGCTAGTTAGCTACCATATTAATTTTTCCCATGTAGGACTTTCACAAAATAAGAACACATAGCTGTACATTATAGCCTATTTTAAATAAGCGACCATAACCACTTGTTTGGATTCGTTACACGTACTTAAGTACTATGATAGGACTATTTTTGGTGGAAGTACGGGGGTGTCGGTTAAAAATCAAAGTAAATATTGCACTTACGTTTTGTTAAACAATCTATTCTCGTCAGTCTTCCAACCAGATGCCTGGACAATTGCCACGGTATATCCAAAATGTGAACCTGTTACGCCTTTTACAAATCCGATTTTCTGCTCTTCAATATTATACGAGTCAATTATCCTTATCAAATTTATCAGATGAATAAGAGCCGCTGAATAATCCATGTTAAAATGAATTGTTGTAAATTATAAATATATAATTTGTATAACAATTAAATCCAATGCAAGAAATAGATATAACATAATTATGTTTTTACTTCTTTTCTACAGAAGGAAGTCTTTTTCCTCCAATTGCAATTCTCTTCGTTAATGACACACGTTAAACAATTGTTTGAGTGGTTTAAGCACTTGATAAAAAAATCGACACTTTATAAGTTTGCATTTGATGAGTTCACTATTGCGATGTTCTAATAAGTACTTATTTTTCTTGAAACTACGTGATTGTTTTTAACCTCTTTGAGGATAATTTAAGACGTTTTACTTATAAGAAATATAAGGAAAAGAATAATTGTGAGTACCAAAACGACAAACCACTCTGATAAGTTTGCTCAGTTTGTAAAATATTTACAATTGACCATTAGGCAATGGTATAATATAATGTTTGTTGCTTCATCTGTGTGTATATAGTATGATTTCTCTAAAAATGAAATTGAGACATACCGTTTCTGCCCTTATAGCCCGTCTGTCTGTCTTTCTGTTTGACGAAACTCAACAGCGGAGATCAGATAGCAACCCATTATGTGCATAATTACGGTAAGTTCTGTTTCGATGCACGATTTGGTCGCTAGAGCCGAACAAAAGAGAAACAGCTTTCTAACTAAAGTCGACATTTTGACGACACTTTACAGAAATGATCAGTACCGAGCCTAGTTATGAAAATCGCCGGAATGTGCTGCTTTTAATTAACACTGAACGAAATGACCCCAAGAGCAAAAGAAACAAGGCCTTATCTGGCTTTCAAAGGTCAAACTGCGGGCAGGATTTCTACGGAAATTCACAGGTGTATTATGTACTAAACCTAGTTGTGCATATTGCGGGCACGTTTCGCTTCGCTGCACAGAATCGCCGTCAAATGTAAAATAAATAAACCTTGTCCGGCTTTAACAGGTCAAACTGCAACAGGATTTCGACGAAACTTCACAGGAATGATCAGTACCATCCAAAGGTGACGGCGTGCTTCGTGTCATTACAGCCAAAAGTATTAAAAACTGTATTCGGCTTTCAATGTTAAACTGCTGAGTGAATTCCGACGAAACTTCACAGCTGTGATCAGTTCCAACTTTTGTTGAGCAGAGGCTAGCTGTACAGAATTGTCGCCAGAGCCAAAAATATGTAAACCTTGTCCGGGTATTAAAGGCCAATCCGCAGGTAAAATATTGACAAAACTAGTTGATATCGCCAGCATTTTCCGCTTCACTACACAAAATGGTCCCAAACCTTAAATTAGTAAACCTTGTCCGGCTTTCAAAGGTCAAACCGCTGGCTGGATTTCGATACAACGTAACAGATATGAACAGTACTAACCCGTTTATGCATATCGTCTGCACTTTCCGCTTGACCGCACAAAAAGGACGCCCGAGATCAAAATAAAAAGAAATGTATGTCCGGCATTCACAAGCTGTGTTACAAGTAACTCATAGGCAAACACTACAGCAGATATTGATTGTGTTAGTGTTCACATATTATCTCCGTCTATATTTTGTATTCTGTGTTATTTATGTGAACACTTTTTACAACTTCAGAAACAATTATTCTCGGCGACATTATTGCAACAATGTCAGATAATGAGCTCGAATAAACCATGAATAAATTTAACAGACTTCCGCTAAAATGTCACAGACGCTGATTGGTCACATATGTAAGACATTTTCGTGTTATTTAATCTGAATCTGTGCCAACTTATTATAGCTATCCACATGCAATTTCACTTGAAACATTCGGATCAATAACGTCACACATAGCCTCTATGGACAGCTGATAGACCTAATTCCATCTGTGTTTGATAGCTTAAACTCTTTATGATGTTCAACTACAGCTGTCACTAGATAACTAAAATCTTAACTTTCCGACTGTAATAGATAAAGTTTTTCTTCATTTCAACATCACTTTCAAGCTTCACCTTCAATCTGATTAAACTAACTGCAACTTATGTTTTGACTTTCACCATTTGCACTATAAACAAGCCACCGTTCTAATTCTTAGAGTGCATACGAAGAAGACAAATAAATTTACTCAGTAAAGTATATTGACTATCATACAGATATAAATAAAAAACGATTTGTAATTAAGGTGTATAAAAACGGCTTGCTGGGTGTTTGATGCCGTATTAAGGTATTACGACCCTAATGGGCACTATAAGGAACTACAAAATTAACATCATAGGTCGAATATATACCTTAAAGTACACCTGTATGCAAAATTTAAACAAAGTTTACCGTACGGAAATCAAGTTATGGTCACTTTTCTGAACTCAAGCTAGGATGTTATGAGGGCAATTTTTTAGAAATGAGGAACCTTTAAATAATCTGTAATAACACTTTTTGCTTTCAAAATGGGACATGAGAGATACATAAATAATGTTAAAAGAAAAAAAGAAAGAAAAATAAAGTTGACCCTTCTGGGGATTGAACCCATGGCCTTCATTTTCAATGTAGTTAACAGTAGTACTAGCCTATTTGAATACTCTTCAAAGTGGAGGTAATGCATTAGGATGGTAATACCTTAAATCGATCTGTTATACAAACAACTTTGAAGATTTATCTACATTCCTATACATAGGAGTGGCATTCAATACAAACTATTGTTGCATATATGACAATTTTATAAAGTGAAATCTTTAAGGAATAAATTGATTAGAATATCTTACCCGTAATCAGCTACTTTATAATATGAATTTATCCATTTTAATATATACATGTATCTATATCAATAAAAATCAACGTCAGTCTGTTGAATGACACGATACTTATTATAAGTTTATAATATCCTAGCACACATACTATGGAAAAACATTGTTATCCATATGGAGATCCTTTAAACATTTGCTGCAATTTAATTCAAGAGATATATTAAATTAAATTGCAATAATTGTTTAAATGATCTTTATGTGGATAACAATGTATATATCAAGCATTATCAATTAAACAATAGTAATAAATTAACACAAACCAATAAGTTCAAAATAGTAATAGATAGAGGCCAATCAAGTCTTTTCTATTAATACAGGATTATTTTTTAATTGAGTGGTATGAAATATGATAATTTTCATACAACAAGGTGAAATTAAATCCTGTTTCTAAATTAAAAAAAAAATCTTCATTTATATGATTATATCTTTCTTTTGTCTTTTTACATTATAACTTATAAATTTAGAAAAAAAAACGTAGTTCGGCAAGACATCGGTTAAAATAAGGAAAATATGTTTCACTATAGTGGAACAAAAATTACAGTGAAAATACTAAAAATGAAAAACACGCATTTTATTTCATCAATATATTTCAAATCATAAGTATATAATAAAAAATGTTCATTTGCTTTGCGCTTCATATGTATATTAGACGTTTGCCTTGTAGGTGTTATTATATTTGAAGACATTTTCTGAAATTTGAAAACGAAAATGGCTTATCTTTTGTCAGTTATAGGCTGGTTTATAAAGTGTAGAAAGCTTATCGTAATAAAAGTTTAGCATCTTTATAGTATTTATAACAACTCTTGAAATAGGAATGGAAATTAGTTAACATTCAAACCTAAGGTCACATAATTATATTTTGGACACTTTTTAACAGCCACCGCACATTATATATGAGTCATTCTGTTTTGTTGGCAAAAATTTTTAAAAATATTTTGAAGTGTCTGAAAAGCTAGAGTCTTTGACTAAAGAACATTCGAAGTTAGCAAATACTTCATAGTTGCGTAAACTATTTAGTTTTCATTGTAAGTTTTTTGGCGAAAGAAAGAAGCAAACCCACGTTCAAAAATTGAAGCGTTAAGTCTTTACAATTAAAAAGGAGTGGGAATATCATATACCGGCGACACATACGCTTAATATTGAACACTTCATTTTGAAAATCGAAGATTATGGTTTATTATAAAATAGCTGCAATCTCATTGATTCAAACAGGAGTCAACTGAACAAATTATGAAACCATATTCACCGAGTGTAGTATCTCATTCACTGACTGATTTGGATTTTCCCAATCTAAAATAGAATCAGCCTCATATTCAAAGACAATTAACTGCCCGTACGTAAATCATATTTACTGAGTGAGAGTATGATTAACACGTGTGCAGTTATGACTAGGTGTAGTATCATATTTTTTGGCTTAACTTTTCCTATCTTAGATAGAATGAGACTCATATTCAATGACCATACAACATTGACTATT